GCTGTCATCTATTGTGTCACTATATACTCATATATACTCTTATAGATCATCCACTCACAGCGCCCCCTGGTGTAACGGAGGAGAATTGCCCCACAGGGTTTCCCAGGCTATCATCCTTACAGGAAGAGAGCATCAGGCCTTTCCCCTGGAGAGCGGCTGCGTGGGTTCCAACCACTGACCTTCTGATGAACAACTGAGCAGTTAACCATTATGCTACCGGGCAGTCCAGGTTTCACGCATTCTGGCATATCTGCAGCTATGGCAACTTTCAAGTCAATTTGGTGGTGATTCCATTTCAATGCAGCTTCCTAAACAATTCTCAGAAACCTCGCCCTTAAACCTTCACAGTAGAAGTAGCTTCCAGCAACCTTAGTCATCAAAGGCGGCTGAGTTGTGGGCAGTTTATGAGAGGTCTTGTAGGTGAATGCTAAAGAGATTAAACATTCTCTTGAAACTGGGGCAAACTTAGGGGGAAGATTAAATCATTGTAGGGCAAGTTTAAATTCATTTTACAAAGATGTACTGTGAATTGTGATGGTGCACTGGTTAAATCACTTGGCTACTAACTGAAAGGCTGTCAGGGGTTCGAATCCACAAAGTGCTCCATAAGAAAATGATTCTGCAGTTCACTTTCGTAAAGATGACAGCTTTGGAAATCCTATGTGGCAGTATGAATTCAAATCAACTAAAAGCCATGAGTTTAGGTTTGTTTTGAGGTTGAAAGCAGGCAACCACGTAAACAATTCCAGAAGCAGAGCAAGAAATGATGGAGGTGTATTCTAGGATAGCTGAGATGAGACTGGGAGGAAGGGGGACTGGATTTGGGAGAAACACAGATGAAAGGCAGCACAAGTCGATGTGGAATAGGAGAAAGCAGGGATCCAAGAGAAACGCAGGCAATGAAAGGCAGCACGAGTCGATGTGGAATGGGAGAAAGCAGGGATCCAGGAGAAACACAGATGAAAGGCAGCACAAGTCGATGTGGAATAGGAGAAAGCAGGGATCCAGGAGAAACGCAGGCAATGAAAGGCAGCACGAGTCGATGTGGAAAGGGAGAAAGCAAGGATCCAAGAGAAACGCAGGCAATGAAAGGCAGCACCAGTCGATGTGGAAGTGAGTGGTGTCCAGGACACACACGGAGCCCAGGACCAACAGTCATTCATGACCAGTGTGACACAGGCAGTCCTGGGTGACCTAACGGGAAGGTGAGCCACAGGAGAGCAGCCACTCAGTACTCATCAACTCCAGGAGCAATTAGGAGCCTGTGTGGGGCCTCACCCTCCACAGTGTCTGCACAGAGCTGATGGAGAAAAGCTACACCCTTCCAGCCTACAGATGCCAGATGCTGAGGTGGGCTCACAGCACACACATCAAAACAAGAATCAGGATGAAGATTTACCCATCGGTCAAAATCAACAAAGTCACATGAAACAAGTGTATGTGCAGTTCTCCGTCTTAGGTACAGGTACCAATTGTCCAGGATCACACACAAGCTGAGCTTAGACTGGCTTATTATAATACGACCACATTCTCCTCTCTGCGAGAAGGAGCTGAACAGGAAAAGCAGCTCTGCGGCAGAGCCGTGAGGTCCCCCACCACCTGGAGCACAGTAAGCGGTCTGCTGGGTTAAAGTTCTATGTTCTGTCTGATTTTCTAGCACATCTTCACACTCTCAGATCTAAGAGGGACACACGTACTCTCATAAGTAGCAAAAGTCTTAACCAATAGCTCCTAAATATTCACCTAAAAAAGGTCTAATTAATTCTTAATAGTTGATCAAGTGGTTCAGAATCTGAGTTAAAAACCACAAAAGACACAGAAAATTTAACTCACCAAAAAACAGATAAGGAAGTTTCTAGCTTCTACTAGGCTTGAAGCATACAATTAAGGCTGTTTTAAAACAACTATGTGAGATAATAGGATCTTAATCTGGGGAAGTAAAGAATACAAATTGTCTTTATTATACTATACTCAGTTGGCTTTAAATGTTTTCTTCAGTTCGTTCAGCTTCAGAAGTGCTGAGGGTGGTCTTCTTTTTGATTTTCTAACTCCAGGTCTTTTCACATTTCGTTATACTTGACTTTGTCTTCTCAAGATACCCTTTGAGATTTTCTGTTCAACTCTTTCACTTCATTTCTTCTATTTGCTTTAGCTACTTTATGTTTACGAGCAAGTTTGAGTCTCTTCCGACATCCATTTTTGCTTTTTTATTTCTTGTCTTAATGACCTTTTGCTTTCTTCCTGTATGATGCCCTCGATGACATCATCCCACAGCTCTTCGGGTCTTGGGTAACTAGTGTCTAATGCATCAAACCTGTTCTTGAGGTGGTCTCGACATTCAGTTCAGGTGGGATGTCTGTTCAGGGGGAGCACTACAGCTCTGTAGGGTCAGCACTGAACTACTAACCACAAGGTCAGTGGCTCGGGCTTAGCAGCTGCTCCTTAGAAGACAGATGCCGTTTTCTGCTCCTGCAAAGACTCACAAGGCTCAGAAACCACCGCACTGGATTCACTCGTGTCTATGCTGAGGGATCTGGAAGACAGCTACCCAGCTCAACCTATTGGAAGAGCTCCATATTTGTGCCCATTCCAAAGAGAGGTGAGCCAATGGGATGTGGAAATCAAATCGTATCATTAATAGTGCATGCAAATATTTCTCTGAAGACAATTTTAAAAATGGCTGCAACAGCACAGAGCTAAGAATGTCAGAAACTCAAAACTGCTTTCAGCAGGACATGGAATTAGGGATATTGTGGCTGTCAGATGGATCTTGGCTGACAGCAGATAATACTAGAAAGATACTAACTTGTGTTTTATTGATTATGCAAAGGTTTTTTTTTTAATTGTATGAAGCATGACATGCTATGGATATCATTGTGAAAAATGGGTATTCCATAATACTTGGATCAACTGTCAACACTCATGGAAGCAGCAGTCAAGAAATCAAATGACATATTGCATTACGCAAATCTGCTGCACAAGACCTCTTTAAAGTGTTGAAGAGCAAAAATGTCAGCTTGAGGACTAAGGTGCGCCTGACACAAGCCATGGTATTTTCAATAACCTCATATGCATGCGAAAGCTGGACAGTGAATAAGGAAGACCGTAGAACTGACGCATTTGAGTTATGGTGTTAGAGGAGAATATTGAAAGTACCATGGGCTGCCAAAAGAACCAACAGATCCGTGTTGGAAGAAGTGTAGCCAGAGTGCTCCTTGGAGGCCAAGATGGCCAAACTTCGTCTCCCATACTTTGGACATATTGTCAGGAGGGACCAGTCTCTGGAGAAGGATATCATGTTTTGTAAGATAGAGGGTCAGAAAAAGAGGAAGACCTCCAGCAAAATGGATTGGCAAAGTAGCAGCATCAACGGGCTCAAGCGTGGCAACAATAGTGAGGTTAGCCCAGGATCGGGCAGTGTTTCGTTCTGCTGTGCATAAGGTCACTATGAGTCGGGTGCCGACTCGATGGCACCTAACAAGAACACCATACCACTTGACTATGTTTATGAGCAACCTGTACATAGATTAAGAGCCAGTCATTCAAACAGAACGCAGGGACTCTGAGTGGTTTAAAATTAGGAAAGGTGTGGACTAGGGTTGTATTCTTTCACCACACTTGTTCAAACTGTATGCTGAGCAAATACTCCGAGCAGCTGGATTATATGAAGAATGTGCCGTCAGGACTGAAGAAAGGCTCGTTAACAATCTGCGACACACAGATGATACAACCTTGCTTACTGAAAGCAATGAGGCCTTAAAATGCTTACTTATGAAGATTAAAGACCACTGCCTTTAGTATGGATTGCCTCTCAATGAACAGAAAACAAAAATCCTCACAACTGCGCCAATAAGTAACATCATGATAAATGGAGAAAAGACTAAAGTTGTCAAAGACTTCATTTTGCTTGGATCCATGGTCAACACTCAAGAAAGTAGCAGTCAAGAAATCAAATGTGTTGCATCAAGCAAATCTGCTGCACAAGACCTCTTTAAAGTGTTCAAAAGCAAAGATGTCAAGTTTTAGGGCTAAGGTGTACCTGATCCAAGACATGGTATTTTCAAATCGCCTCATATGCATGTAAGTTTGGACAGTGGTTAAAGAAGACTGTAGAAGTTATGGTGTTGGAGACTATACAAAGTCCCATGGACTGCCAGAAGAATACAGAAGTTTGTGCTGGAAGAGGTATAGCCAGAATGATTCTTGGAACAAGGATGATGAGACTTTGTGCTTATACTTCAGACATATGAGGATGGACCGGTCCCTGGAGGTAATCATTATGCTTGGTAAAGTGGAGAATCAACAAAAAAAGAGGAAGACTCCACAACGAGATTGACAGCAGCAATGGGCTGAAGTGTGACCACAAACGTAAGGATGGCGCAGGACCAGACAGTTCCATTGTGCGTAGGGTTGTGATGAGTTGAAACCAACTGGATGACACTTAATAACAACAACCCGAGTCCCAATCAATTCGATGGCACTTCACATATTTAGGTCATGTTTTGGCTTTCACTGACTTGGTCCTGAAAAATTCTATTATGTAACCTTTGGTGTTGTTTATACCACCAAGGCCATATTTTTCAATGACCACTTCATCCACATTCCAATCACACGTAATTATCAACACATCTTAATTGCATGGTTAATTTATTTCAGATTTCAAAAGTTGGTTAAAATCTTCAATTTCTTCTTTGGTGTGTAAATTTGAAAAACAGTCATATTAACCTGTCTTCTTTGTAGTTATACATTATTCTTTTTGATGGTGATTTCGACTCCATTCCTATTCAATTTGTCATTCCTGGCACAGTAAACCGTGCTTGTCTGCTTCAAAATGGCCAATACCAATCGATTTCAGCTCACTGACATCTTTGTTGTGGTGGTTAAGTGCCAACGCGTCAGTTCTGACTCAGAGCTCTGCTGTAGTTTCTGAGCAGCGGCTGGAGCATCTGAAGCTTGCAGTTAATACGTCCAATCTACTAATTTTTATACATTCCATTTCATTTTTGACTACTCACAATTTTCCTAGATTCATACTGTGTATATATTCCACGTTCCAATTCGTAATGGATGTTTGCTTTTTTTCCTCTTCTTATTTTGAGTTGTGCCCCATGAACAAATGAAGGTGTCAAAAGCTTTGTTCCATCCATATCATTAAGGTGAACTCTACTTTGAGGAAGCAGCTCTTCACCAGTTGTATTTTGGGTGTCTTCCAAAATGAAGGGCTCATCCTCTGGAACTGTAACAAGGTTCCACTGCTATTTCTAAGGTTTTCAGCAGCTAACTCCTCGGAAGAGGACAGCCTATTCGTCTTCATCTGGAAGCTCTACTGAAACTAGTCTATCATACATGACCCTGCAGGTATTTAAAACACAGGTGGCATAGCTTTCAGCATCACAGCACCACACAGGCCAGCACAGTAGGGCACGTTAACAGATGAGTGGTGGTTTCTTTCTCACGGAACATTCAAGCCTGAACCTAAGGCACAGTTGTTACTGCTGCTAAGCTGGTTCTGACTCACAGGAACACTGCACAGAGTTTCCAAGGAGCAGCTGGTATGTCTGAACGCTGACTTTCTGGTTAATAGTCCAATGCTTATTCTACAACCTGCACAGCTAAAGTCCTGCTTGCCCACCATGGGGGTCCTGAACTTTTAATGAGGGGCTGCACATAAGTGGATTTACGTTAAGCATCTTTTCCTCCCATGTGAGAAAGAAATGGGCAGATACAGTGAAACATTTCCTACTTTCCAATATGGAATTTCCAAAATTTCCTACTTTCCAAAATTTGCAAAATGCCCAGTGTACTAACAACACCACACACACAATGCATTGTTGTCCTGACAGGCACTTCAACTCACTTGGTTCTCCCTCCACAAGAAATGATTTCACCACTCTGATGGGGCCATCCAGGTACCTCAGGAGCAGAGCAAGGTGAACAGGGAGGAGCCGGGTAATGCCACAGTAGTAAAGGATGAGCTTCAGGTCTTACATTGCCTGTGTCCATCGTACGAGTCTCAGATCTGCTCTTGTGAGGAAGCGGGCACTCCACAACATGGGGCCATGTTGCTTTCACTCAAAGCTGTGCATGCGCCCCTTAGGCATGGAGCAGAGCAGAACAATGGGGCCAGAAAACGAGTCTGTGTCTCTGAAGCTGGCAGTGCCGTCCTGTAGTGGGAGGCATCTGGCAGCCGGAGAAGAACTTTCTGGAGCCCAGTGCTGGCACTGAGCACCTTGCTGATGCTGCCAAGCGGACCTCGTACCTGACAGGTGTCTAATCTCTAAGAAGCTTGTTTCCCCTTCTATACAGTGGAGATAGTAATGCTCCAAGTTAAGGAATACACACATGAAGAGGCTGAAACACAGGCATGAACTATGCTGCCAGTGAATGGGTAATGACCATGGATGATGATAGAGCGTAATACACTCAGCTGCTAACCAACAGGTGGGAGGTCTGAACCCGCCCTGCAGGAGAAAGGCATGGTGATGTGCTCTCGTGAAGCCAACAGCCTGGGAAAACCCACAGGGCAGCTCTCCTCTATCAGTGTCCTTAATGAATCAGAATCAACTCATGGCAGTAGGTTGAAGAAAAGTCATGAAGGAAAACTTGTTTGATCAGAGACTTAATAAAAACAACGCAGATTCCTTCTATCGGGTTTAAGAGTTTTACAAACGCTAGATAGAGTAGAGATGGAGTGCTTAAAACGTGCAAATCCACTTACTTGTATCTGACCGTCTGCACGGTTTCTGCTGAAACATTGCTCACGATGCACTTAGCTGCACATTCCAATCCCTGCCAGACGGTGGAGAACCCTGTAATTACATGAGGTGTCAGTGGAGTGGGTCTGAGCCCCATCCCTCCCTGTCCCCGCCCTGATGGGGACAGCAGTCTGGTTGTCACCTTGCACGCTGCTTGCAGCCACGACCAGGGCGCCATCCAGGGTCGACTTCCCATCTCTGTCTCTCTTCAAAGATTCAGGGACCAGTTTGCTGCCATGCTTTTTGACATGCGGAGCGAGTTCTTTCCCTACGCAGCTGGCTACGGTGCAAACTCCATCCACTAATACAATGGTAACAAAAGCACTGCTTAAGAAAAAGAAAATGTGTCCTTCCTCGGTTGTACCACTCTGATTTAAATCAAGATGCTTCGGGAGCACTGGGAAGTGTAGCAGTGAATGCCGGTCCTCCTTCTGTGGGAAGGGGAGGAAGGCGCTGCCCTATGGACACAGATGTTCCCCCACCCCCTCACTCCGCTTCGTTCCTGCCTGCAAGTCCACCTTCATGGGCCCTGTTGTGAGAGCTCACTCTCTCTCGGAGACAACAGCAAGGAGTCACACTGATGAGGAGCCCTGGGGACAGCCCAGGTGAACTGCAGCTGAAAGGCTGGTGGCTGGATCCCACCACCACTCCTTGGGAGAAAGGTGACGCTGTTTGCTTCTGTAAAGACCTAAGAGCCTTAGAAACCCACGGGCACTTCTGCTGTGGTCTGCACTCACCATGAGGCAGCGTACTCCATAGCGGTGGGTTAGGGTTTGGGGAATGAAGACTATAAAACACACCACACTGCTGCCATCAAGTGGGTTCGGACTCACAGGGACCTCGATTAGGGTTTCCGAGGCTATAATCTTCACTGAGCAGGAAGAGCCATAGAGTGGCTGGTGGGTTTGAACTGTTGACCTTAAGGTTAGCAGTCCGGTGCTTCAGCTACCAGGTCACTGGTTTATTTATTTAAGTCTATATAAACTTAGAGTCCTGGGGGGCGCTGTAGGACAAACACCGAACTGCTAAGCACAAGGTCACTCCTTGGAAACCCTAAAGGCCACTGTGACTCAGAACAGACTCACGGCACTTAGCAACACACTGACTGACTTATGAAGTCTACAGAGAAGTTCACAAACAAAAATCGGATTCAAAAGAACATTAAATACCAAACAAAGAGAGCCCTAAAGCCATGTGAATTCTCTATGAAGGGTGACACTGAGACAGCACACCTCAGCACTGTGGCGCCGCGTGGACAGGGCTTAGACGTTGGCAGCAGAACCATGAAGTCAGCTTTCCTCAGACACACATCTCTCACTTTCCACACCCAATTAATCTGTAGAAGAGGCGCCCTGGTGACGCAATGGGTAACCACCTAGCTGATAACCAAAAAGTCTGGGGTTCCAATCTACCCACTGGCCCGCAGCAGACAGACCTGGTGGTTTGCTCGCAGAGCGAGGACAGGACAGTCCAGGTCAGTCACAGGGCTGTTCTCTCCTATCACATGGGGCCGTTGTGAGCTGGAACTTGGAACTGTCTCTACTGCACACAGCACCCTTCCTTTCCCTCTGCGGATTCAAGAAGGGCAGTGCGTCCAAACAACTGTTGTTACAAGACACAACTCTCCACCCCATCTAGAGAGCCCTGCAGTCCATGTACCTCAGTTTGGTGGGGAAGAGAATTGCCCAGGGCCTTACAGAGAAGGCAGATGTGGAGTCAGCAGCGGGGCGCTGGGGCTGTGGCCAGCAGGCCCCCGAGGTAAGCAGGGTGACAAAGCTCCCAAGTGAGGTTCAAGCTGAACTCAGAGGCCACCTCGAATGTAGCAGGGGTCACGTTACCCAAGAACTGACTGACTTTCGCTGCTCCTCCTGTGGCCTGCTTGGCCATGTGAAGGCTCTTGGTCACAGCTGGGCTGACTTCCACAGGCTTTTCTTCTGGTTGAATCCGCTCTCGGAGTTTCGAGGCGCCCTTCTGGATTGCTTTGCCAGTAAATTCAGCACCTTTGACTAAACCCCAGCTCACCCAGGAAGCACCTTTTAAAAGAAAATGTAAAATTTCATACAATTAGGGCTGATTATACCTTCAAACTGCCTTAGTGAAAATACCAGACTAAGTAAGGCATTGCTATAAACTAAAATAAACGTTGTGCTGAAAGAGCACAGTCATCTCAAACTGGGGAGATGCTACAGATATCCATGCCAGAAACGCAATGCTCCCAAAGGAGTCCTGGTGCGGGGCTACACGATAAGCACTGGATTGGAAGGTTGGTTTGACAGCAAGGTCCATGGTTCAAACTCACCAACCACTCCTCGGAAATCCTATACAGGGTTGCTATGAACTGGAACTGACTAGGCGGCACTTGTGAAGTTCAGCTTGGTACCCCCCAGGCCTACCAGAAAGCTAATGGGGTACCTGTCGTCTGAGACACCCTGAGAAGGGTCCGAACAAAGCATCTTGCCAGGGGCTGATTTTCCGTGACACTCTCAGCCTGTCTCCTTACCCCAACAACTCCGTGTCTACCCGAGTTACAAATTTACAAAGGGCAATCAGTGGAATTCTACTGAGTGCAATTTTGGGACCCAGGAGGTACACTACAATTTCACACATGCATGTATGTTAGCTCCCAAGGTATGCAGACTCCAGGATCATTTAATGTGTTCAGTTCCCGCTCCCCTCCTCCTGCTGAGCTGGCCTCTGAGGCCAGCTATAGTCTCTCCCTCGAAGTTCTAGAAATCCTGACCTCTGTCTTTACTGTTTCTTATGCAATAAAGCTTGGACACGGTTTCTTTAGAAAAGAAAAACTGAAAATCTTAATTCATAATCTATTTGTTGGTTTAGGTCTCAAGTTGCTCAATTCAGACAGGCCAGGACCTCCTTCTAAGGTTTATGACTCCAAAGAACGCTAAGTAGCACCCAAAGGAAAAGCAAACTCAAGCTGTTTGCTAGTCACAGCCCAAACAGGAGAGGAGCTTTCAAGACAGTGCTGTGCCTACTCAGTGGGCCTGGGAGACGTGCATTGCCTAACTGGATTCACGGCTCAGTATGGAGACCCAACAGCTCAGTTAGAAAGTCCAACGTACTTGTGCTGTTGGCACTGATCTTTGTCACTTAGCACAGAAAAAGACTGTCAGGATGACTTTGAGGAGTCTTGATGACACTGTGGGTATGGAACGGGGCTGGCAGTTCAAACCCACCAGGAAAAAGATGAGGCTGTCTGAGCCTGCAAAGCTTCACAGTCTCAGAAACTCTGTGTAGGGTGGACTGGGGCCAAGGAGTTGGCATTGGTTTTCGACTGGGTTTGGGTGTGAATGAGACAGTGTCTGACCAGACTAACCTGGCAGTCTTCTTCTGAGTTTTACCCTCTTCCAGGTAGGTACCAGTTCTTCAATGAAACCCTAAGGTAAACCCAAAGGACGGGGGCAAACTGAAAACCAAAGAGCCCGCATCCAAGCCGCCCACACAGCTCCTGTCCTCGGGCTTTCCACCCTGGGGTCTCAGTGACGTTTAGCTCAGAGCAGACAGCACGGGAGACCAGGGTTCAGTTCCCATCAGCACACCTCTTGTGCAGCCGTGTGTGGGTGGAGAGCTGTGGGCTGCTATGTGGCTGAACAGGTTTCAGCGGGGCTTCCAGATTAAGACAGACTAGGAAGGCCTGAAGCTCTACTCAAATGTAGCCAGTGGGAAACCTACTGGGTAGCCAAGAGTGGGGGCCAACTTGACAGACCCTGACAATTGTTGTTAAGTACCATCATGTTGGTTCTGACCCACAGCAACCCCGTATAGGCTTTCTGTGGAGTGGCTGGTGAGCTTAAACCCTGACCTTGTGGTTCAAACCAACTTTGTAGTCCAGCTCATTAGCCACACCAGTCCTATTAACCTCCAGGTAGAAAAGGTTTCCATAACAAACCTGCTGCACTCGAGGGAGGAAGACGGAGAAAAAAAAACCCAACACAACAATGAAACAAGATGAAATAAACGACAATCCTACAAAACAAGCACAGAGCTCACCAGTGAGAGAGAAAAAACAGGGAAATGAGATTAAGTCATAAAACCAATGAGGAAACAATCACCTAATACAGGTGCCCTGTGCAAAGTGTCGACACTGCAGTGTAAGTTAAGGAGGCTGTTGTTGTTGTTGTTGTTGTTGTTAAGTACCGTGGAGTCGGTTCCCATTCATAGTGACCCTGTACAGGGTTTCTGAGGCTGTAAATCTTTACGGAAGCAGAAAGCCTCATCTTTCTCCTGCAGAACCTCTGGTAGTTTTGAACTGCCGACCTTGCGGTTAGCAGCCCGATTCATAATCACTACCCTACCAGAGCTCCTTAAGGAGGCTACTAAGACCTTCTAATTGGTAGACAACATAATAGCAATCAATAGCTGGATTCCATTCACAGTTACTGGCTATGTACCCAGTTAGGTCACCTGTGCATACTGTCAGTGCTGCAGAGTAAGGCACACAACGTAATACCAGCCATGTTTACCAGCTATGGACTCAGTTAATGCTGACAGATCATACATGAGAGACTGGCACACAACTTAACAACGATTTAACTCAAATCAAACCACTGCGGTTTATGGAGCAAGCACTGACCACTCTTTATAGACTAAGAAAATCTACCTTTACAATGCTAATAGTGAAGCCCTAAATCACAGACTGTTTACACAAATAATATGTACGCAATCTGCAAACGGCACAACCTCTTCAAGCACCGGTCGCCTGTGTGTGTGCCTTATATGCACAAAAATGCCGTACAGCACCCTCTCCTGGTCAAAGGCTTAAAACTTACAATGACACAGACCCTGACTTTCCTGTAGGTTTTAATAATTTACTAATCCTAAGTATGAGTTATAAAACATCCATCTTTCCACATTCAGTTTTCATATTCTATGAAGGGGCTTCAGGAGTCCATGGCAACAACTCCATCTTTCAATTCCATTTTCCAGGCACGTGCTGACGCCCGGGTATTTCGCTGGCTAACATGCGGGGGAGTGAGCAGAAGCTGGTCCTAGTAGTGCTATGGCTTCTAGACCTCTCCAATCACGTGACACACCCTTTACCCTATCCCTCCCCACCCCCCGAACCACTGAAGGGTAAGTACCACTGTGTGATGCTACTTGTCCTATAGACCCCAACCCACAGGCCACTGGGACCCGGCCATGGATTTGTGGAAGGCTGGGAGGGCTGCTTTGTGGCAGTCTCTCTAACAGACTGAACTGAGCAGAGGCACTGAGTGCACAGATGACGCAGTTGGTTCTGTCTGCTTCCTGTCAGCCTTAAGATGAAGTTCGGGAGAACGGAGAGCTGGGCAGAACTGGACCAACCTCGTTCCAACAGCCTTGAGGACCTTCTGCAGTCCCCTCCGCTCCAACCTGCTCCCGCTTTTCCGTTGCCTTACTGACTACAACATGCCAATCATCCAGAACTGTTTAAGGGTTAGATGTAGCCTGTTTAATGGGGGTTGTTAGGTGTGGTCAGGAGGATGCTCAGCAGGATTAAGAACTGGATGGGATTCTAACTGGTTTGTTCTGGCTCCACCTCCCTGTGGAGCACTTGCATTTCTATCCTAGACAGACCAGAATAGGAATTGACATGGCTTTAGTCAGATGCACAAGTTAGTAAGGATTTGCTAAAATGCAGACTCTGACCCTCAGCAGGGATCTAACTAGCCACACTAATCTGAGGGCTGATTCTGACTCAGGTGACAGTCTCCTGAGACGTCCCCTGGTCCCAGTCCCCACCTCAAGGCTGTCATCGTTCTCTGGCAGAGTCGCTGGGTGGGTACAAGCCCCTAACAGTGGAATTGGCAGCTGAGTGCGTAACTACTATGCTGTCAGGGTTCCTTTAACCCTGTCCATGTGGAATCTGTTCCCTAGAAGACAGAAGAAATTCGCCAGTTTTCAAATCTAGAATCTTTAGCAAGAGAGCCCTGGTGTCACAGTGCTTAAGCACTCAGAAGCCAATCAAAAGTGCAGTGGTTTGAACTCATCAGCTGTTCTGCAGAAAAAAGAGGCGGTGTTGTTCCTAACAAAATGGCGAATGCTAGGGGCAGTTCCCCTCTGTCCTACTCAAAGGCGGCATGCAATGTGACAGCTTCTTGTTGGTTGACTCACAGTGGCCCTCCACAGGATTTCCGAGGCTACTCCTGTAAGTGTTATACGAGTAGGAAGCCTCATCTTTCTCCCAAGGAGTGGCTGGTAGGCTCGCACCGCCGACCTTGTGGTTCACAGTCCAGTGCTTGTCCTACAGAGGACCACAGTACAACACACTGACAGACGAGTGGTGGACAGAGCCACTGCCCTCCCAATGAAAGCTGCTGCTTCTTATTGTTGGTTAGTGCTGTCCAGTTGGTTCGACTCATAGCGAGCCTGTGTGGGGTTTCTGAGGAGCAGAAACCTGTGAAGTGGACGAGCAGGTTATAGGGTGCTGAACTGTATAAAAAAGAACAGTCTACTGCCTTGCCGAGTCTTTGAAAAGCTCCTTCAGGGTTAGGTCTGAGAGTTACAATTACGTTTGGAAATTTGCATTTACAGTTTCTTTCTTTCGGTTTTCTGCAGAGCCTGTTTTACTTTGCAGTGGAGCTTTTTACTTTGAAATCTTCCTTTATGACAGACTTCATGTGTAGGTCCCTACCTGGGAGCAGAAGCCTATACCAGTGGTTTCTGTGACAGGTCAAGACTGGGTCAGGAACTGGACACACTGAGTGGCGAAGGAAGAAATCTGAGAGACCTCACGTGAGAAACAAAGCGAAACATGAAACAATTCCTAGAGGGTCCTTCGTGGGCCATGAGTCGTGTGGTTTTGGAGTCACTGACTGGAAGCCCTTTCTCACCACAATCACACAGGTGGGCCCAGCTATTGAGTCTTCTCACGGCAGCACTGCTGGATGCGGTCAGAGGTTCCCTCTTCTTTGGGGGTGGGGTGGGGCACAGTGGCTAAGTACTTGGCTGCTAGCTGAAGGGTTCGCAGTTTCAATCTCTCAGCTACTTTGCAGGTGGAAGACGACAGCTTCAGAATCCCTATGGGGCAGTCCTACTCTGCCCTAAAGGGTCTCGGCAGTGGGTTTTGCTTTGCTTTGGTGGTGATGGAGGGAGGAGGTTTAAGGGGAAAGGAAAGTAAGTTTGTATTCAGACCAGTTCTGAGAATTTGAGGATTCCTGAAGCTTTTCACTGCCGACTTCTCAGAGCGTAAAACAAAATAAAAGGCCTGCACCTAGCTGACAGTATGTGACATCTGAGACCAGGTGCTGCTCTTTTTAGAAATTTCTAAACTGCTTATTTAGAACCAAATTACAACTTTCTTTCTTTCTATACATCACCTATTTTACACAAAAAACACATGCATTATATGTTTTGTTTTGCCACCCACACACTGGAATTGCCCTGAGTTCACCAGGCATGCTGTACTCACCTGTGCTGGTGCGTACAGAGGTGGAGGTGCTATGTGTGAAGAAGTACGTATACCCTATGAATGACAACTCTACTGTGTCACAGTGCAGGGAGAGAAAGTCAACATCACTGCAGCAGTACCTGACAAGATGTTCTGAGCCACTTTCTCACTCCACTCTGGTAACTCCTTTGGTTTCTCGTCTGAAACTGGCTCACAAGGTACGATGTGACCCAGATTAATTTCCTCATTGGAAGTACCTTTAGCCTGAACAATAAAAACGTTTCAAAAGGTCAGGCAAGTAAGGGCTGTATAAGAAGGAGAAGCAAATATTAAGCCAAAAGAAAACTAGATACATTTAGGGAAATTATCTTTAGCACACTTTTCACATGAAATGTTATACCAGAGTCACCATGATACAGTTTAAGTCTTCCCTAACAACTAGGCCCCACAGTTAGGGAAGATTTAAACACCAACATACCTCCTGCACACTAAGAGTGGCTTGTCCCCTATGACTAGAGTAAGCATTCCTTCCTACAGCATCATTCCTAGATACTGATGTGTACCCGGCACTCAGAAGCATGAAAAGCACCTCACACTGCTCAGGCAGCAAAGACAGACACACAGCAACAAGTCTGGACAGAAATCAGGTTAAAGCCTAATGTGAAATAGACTGTGGTTCAGATCCAGACCCACAACGTTGCACATGTCACAATAAAATGAGTCGTGAACTTTGAGAGTGACACCAATGGTGGACTGTCATCTGTCAGGTATGCACCAAGGGACAGAGACACCAAGGGGACATAGCGGGGGACAGAGACACGAAGGGGACACAGTGGGGGACAGAGACACCAAGGGGACATAGCGGGGGACAGAGACACGAAGGGGACACAGTGGGGGATAGAGGCACCAAGGGGACACAGTGGGGGATAGAGGCACCAAGGGGACACAGCGGGGGTCAGAGGCACCAAGGGGACACAGCGGGGGACAGAGACACCAAGGGGACACAGCGGGGGACAGAGGCACCAAGGGGACACAGCAGGGGACAGAGGCACCAAGGGGACACAGAGGGGACAGAGGCACCAAGGGGACACAGTGGGGGATAGAGGCACCAAGGGGACACAGTGGGGGATAGAGGCACCAAGGGGACACAGGCTGTCAGAAAATGGCACCCACAGCCTTGCTGGATGCTGGGTTGCCACAGACCTTCCATTTGTAGCACATACAGACACATGCAGGGTCTGCAAGGTGTGCCTGAAGAAAGGCAGGAGCCCAGTCACCCCACGTGTGCACAGTAGTGCCTGTCCTTTGCTAACTTACTACAACTATTGCTGTGACAGCAAGGACAGCATTCAGTCTCAAACTCCTACAGCATTCATGAGTGTGATCCTTGAGTACTCCGCTAGACCCTAACCGACTCAATGGCACTTTAACAACAAAAACAGCCTTTGGAATTTGTTTTCTTGTGCGTTAAGTTTCTGAAACAGAAACATCTTGACAAGAGAAATTCTGGAATCCCTTTGGACCTGCACCGCCCCCAGAGTGACACTTTCAATGAGGACAAAGGGTGAGGTAGTACTGAGAACCCCTGGGGCCCCTGGGCACTCATGTCATCACACTCATGCTCACGCTACAACTTCCAGAACCAGCCTTGGTCTCCTGCTTGTGCGGCCCACCTGTCTTCCTTCAAGCCACACCTCAGCCTCAATGGCCTGCAGGGCTCCACTTACCTGAGAGGCCCAGGCTGCATCTTCTCTCGCAATCACATCCCACAGACAACGACTGGACACATTTTACAAACACCAACGGTCCTGCTGACCGGTTTTGAGTAAAAGCGGCAACACCTAAGATCCGAGCGGTGAAGCATGCCTAGTTCCACGCTCTGTGTTTAAGACCGAGAAGGGCCACACAAAACAGACAAAGTACCTTATCATCAACGTAAACAGAAAGAACGCTCAAACAGGTGGAACCAAACAGAAGACTCTTCCCCTCAAAGCACAGACTGGCTCTTGAAAGGCCATGGGCCCTCCTGATTGTCCCGTCTCCGAGGCCGTATGGCCATAGACAGGTGGTGACAGAGACCGCCAGGCAGCCTATCCTGCTCGGACCACACTTGCCTGCTTCCCACGTTTTCCTTTATGGCGTATGTCCTTAGCACCGGAGTCCCGTGGAGGACCCCGCGGTCTCACATCCGTGCCAGAGGAGCGTCCTGCTCTTCCAGGGACTTGGAACTCTTCTTCCTCCTCCTCTGCTCTGCTCCAGTTGGCCTGGGAAAGAAGGGACTAGTTGAGCTCCACCAGCCATGTCTCAGATGATGCTCTGCTCGGACGACACGCATGTTCACAGGCAGCGGGCTTGCCCTCCCTTCCCCTCGACAGACATACCACGATTTATTGTGCTTTTGAGATATTGCATGTCACATTGCTAAAGTGCCTGACATGACCACATGCTAACCCAACCCCAAACCATACTTGCCAGTCCTAAGACAATGAAACACTTGATTTTACTTATCACCAATCATCTACTGTGCTCATTTGGCTGGCTGTAGTTGGGGCTGAATGAATGTGTGTGCACTACTTGTCTGCTTGTCTTCATCTACAAGGGTCTCGGGCTGCTGCTGTAGGAGGAACACTGAACTGCTAAGTGCAAGGTCGGCGGCTCCTTGGAAATCCTATACACCACCACACCACTTATATAAAAGGCTGTATGTCTGTTGTGTACTTTTGATGGGCATTTCTCCATATATGAGGGCTGTGTACATTTCTGTATGTGTGTTTACATACATAAGGGGCTGCGTGCATGTTTCTAATATTTCTACATTTATGCCCACATACATAGGTTCCACAAGGAGCTCTGGTAGCGTAGTGGTTACGAATCGGGCTGCGAACCTTAAGGTCAGCGGTTCGAAACTACCAGCTGCTCCGCGGGAGAAAGATGAGGCTTTCTACTCCCCTAAGGATTTACACCCTCGGAAACCCTGTACAGGGTCGCTATGGGTCGGACCCGACTCGACGGCACTTAACAACAACAACAACACATAGGTTCCACAGTGTAGTGGTTATCACGTCTGCTTTATGCACAGAAGGTCCTGGGGTTCATGCTCCAGTGAACCACTCGGTCACTCAGTTGGAGTCCTGGTGGGGCACTGTAAGATAAGCACTGGACCACGAGGTCAATTTGAACTGCAATGTCAGTGGTTTAGACCCACTTGCCACTCCACAGAAATCCTATACAGGGACACTATGAGTCAAAACCAACTCGAAGGCACTTAATAACAACTAACCACGTATATAAGCGTTGTGTGCACATGCATTTTTATATGTCATGGTGTGGCAATGAAGGATAAACGCTGGACTGCAAGGTCGGTTTGAACCACAAAGTTGGTGGTCCAAGCTAACCAGCTGCTCCTCAGAACCCCTAAACAGAGTTGCTATGAGTCAGAACCGACTCAACACCACTTAATGACAACAATATATATATAAGGTCCCTATGTGGTGCTGTGGGTTAATGTGCTGGACTGCAAAAAAAAAAAAAACCCATAATGTTTTCATTCAATTTTTCTATGAAAAGTTTGAAGCCCCCTAGTATACCCAGTTTCCGCTTTTCCAGCCCCACCAATTAATATAGCATGTTCCTAATAGGTTCTAAACACTTGCTGAAGGAAAGGAAGAATGGGACTAGAATGTTGTCAAACACATTCAACTCCAGAAAACTGTCAATATTCACAATTTAATGTCTTTTTCCCTCTAGGACAAGTGGTGGTTGTTAAGTACCATCATGTCAGTTCTGACTCATGGTGACCTTGTTTAAGGTTTCTGAGGAGCAGCTGGTGGATTTGAACCGCCAACTGTGTGTGTTTAGCAGTCCAGTGCTGATCCTATAATGCCACACACCTGTAAAAAGTCCTCTCTGTAATCTCTTTCCCAGAAGGCCAGCCCTTTACAGTGCCCTGTCTTCTCTCTACTGGGCTTTCACTGACAGGAGGACAAAGTGCCTGACCTGACCAGTGGACTAGGCTCAAACGACACCCACACCCACATCCTCCAGCTGAGCAGTGACAGTGGTGTGAGGGTGGTAGGGGTTGTGTGGGCTCTGGTCACTGTGCCACACCATGTCCCCATGAGAGAGGTCATACTGTCCCCTTGTGACTGCTTGGACACCAGAGAAAGCGTTTGTGACGTGGCAAAGTTCAACAGGAGAGAGAACAGGAGCTGGAACCCAAGCCCAGGCCACCTGACTCCAGAGCCGCTGCTTGCTGGCTGCATGGACTCGCACTCACACTAGACTCCTAACTCTCTTCCACCGAACCCAGCAAGAGCCCATGACAATGCTATTATGAAGAAGAGGTGCTTATGCTAAGGTACAGGCTCACTTTCAACATGATTGCTCAAGTTACCTGGAGTCGAAGGTCAGACATTTGTCTTAGGAGGTCCTCAAAGAGTTCTCTTTCCTCTTCAGGTAATTCAGAGGACAAGACGACCCCCACAAAGCATCCTGATGCCTGTAACATGGTATCTGGGAACATGTAGGCTCCCACCGTACATTTCAGAACTGGTGAACGATCAGGAACCAGGGGATACAGCCAGTCACAGACCTAATGGGGTCAGCAAAAAAAGCAACAGAAAAGGGTTTTTTTATTACCATCCAGGTTTTGATTACTAAGAGTATTAATGCCACAAAATAAACATTTCAAAATAAACACTTTAAAACAGTTTGTAAAAACCTTTGTAAAGGTTGCAACTAAAGCTTAGGGAAGGTTTCTTTTAGTATTCCATGATCTCCCCAAGAAGAACTCCATCCTGGTCACTTGGGCTGAACCGGACCAGTGCCAGAACTCTCGCACGGTGCTCCTGAGCCTGTCTGAGCGTCGGCTATTACAGATGAGTGAGTTTGTCAGCACAGGCGCTTCCCCTCCTGTCCACCTCCCTTATGCAAGGACTACAAATACCACAAGTCCAACCAGGAGAAAACTTGTTCCAAGACTTCGAATCCCAGCTCTGCTAACTGAAACGAGGGTTCTCAGACAGACATTAGCAGGCCCTGTGGCCCGGACACTTGGTGTGTCCCACTTGCTCCTAGTACAGAAACTTTCAGCAGTCTCTGCTTCAAATACCTGAACACACACCACTGAAAGCCTCTTAAACAGAGAGGCTCAAACTCAATCTTGGGTGTAACTTTGCTTTTCGTTGAAGACCGTAAGAAGGAAAATGAGAAATATTAAACAATTAAACCTCAGGACAAGTTTTTCGAGAGACGGTTTTATCACAGCTGGGTCCTCATCAAGCACAATGCGCTTCTGCCCTCCACTCACCAGATGTCTCAGTCCCACTACCACAACGTGGGTTGGTACCACTGGCTTCCTGACATGAATCCCACTCAGGTTAACCTCAAGGTCGCTCTTCCTTCTGCCGTGGGTTTTACTGTGAATAAGTATAGTAACCTTAGTGGCAAACAGTGAAGCCTGTGAAAGCCTGTTTCCCTCCTCTGACAGTGCAGTCTGACCACTTTTCTATCACTCCTTTCAGAGGAACATACTTAGAGTTTCCTTTTCTGACAGGCTTCACTACATTCAAAACCGAGCTAGGACTTACAGTTCCCTTCCTGGACTATTATCCTGGGCACACTGCTGTATTTTTTGCATGTTCATGTAAGTAAGGAGCCTACGTACATAATGTGCACAGTGTGCTCAGGGAAAACAACATACACAGAGCCCTGAGTGGCTGGCAGAAAAACAGGTAACATGTGCACTATTTATAAAAATATGGTATGCCCGAACCAAACCCACTGCCATCGGATTGATTCCAACACACAGATATCCTATAAGACAGAACTACTCCATGGGGTTTCTGAGGCCACAAATCTTTATAGCAGACAGCCTCATCTTTCTCCCTTGGAGCAGCTGGTGGGTTCGAACCTCCAACCTTGCACCCGATACACAGGACAGACACTGACAAAGATGCTGTCGACTCACCTGGAGGAACCCGGGGGGGCGGTTCAGCATGGTGTCCAGTGAGTTATCCAAGAACCTCACGATGCGCAGGTACCCGGGGTAGGAGGGTGCACTCACCTCCCCGGCAGGGTTGACGAAGAAGATCTGCACCCCAGTTGGAATTAAGATCAGCTCGTCTGCATCCAGCCCCAGGGTGTCCAAGGGAGGCGGCTGTGAGTGATCTCTGTAGAAGTTTTCTCCCATGGAGGTATACTCCCCAGACTCTGAGCCGTAGGAGACGGTGTGGTGGCCTTCTGCGGCTTGGGGTGTGTACGCGGGTGGTGCCTCAGTTGGCCGGCTATGGGTATCTGAGGGTACTGCGGATGCACCTGCAGCCACAGCACTTCCGTGCGCTTCGGTGGGCTGAGCCGCTGGCAGCTTCTCTGGGGTTTCCTTAGGTGGGAACTCTGGGTACAGCCTGGGCACCTCGGGCAGGTCATTGAGCAGAGAGGTGGCGAGCCCCTTGTCTAGGATCTCCAGACGGGCACGCACATTCTGCAATGTCTCTCTCATCTTCTGCTGCATCTGCCGGGCAGACTCCCACTCGGACCCTGTGTCCTCGGGATCCCCTGAGGACAGGCTTATACCACGGAGCAGGTGCCCAATGCCCTGCCGGTAATGGTTCTTGGCTTCTTCCTTCTGACCCAACTCATCTGCACTCAGCCCTTTATTAACAAACAAGAAGGCCTTCTGGTAGGCTTCATGGATGTGCTTCACCTCAGCTGGCTCTCCATCTTGTGGCTTTTGCTCCATGTCTGCAAAACAGGACACAGCATTATTGATGACCGGGTGTGGCTGTTTCCCTCTTCAGTAACTCGATCTCCCAACTGTGTACTATGCTATGGAGTGGATATGTAAATAAGCGTTCTCAGTTCTCAACTCCTGTTCTGCTCAGCACACGATGAGAACAGAGCAAAACACACTCACTGGATTTTCTTGTAAGTCCTATCAGTGGTTGTGGTCAGAACCAAAGCCCCTTACTCTAAAATGCATTATAATACCAGATCCAATCAGCCTCACTAAAAATGAGGTTGAAGCCCACACTGGGGAGGACAGAGACCATAAAAAAAATCTGCGTGAGGCTGGGTGGTGGAACTGGGATTTTCACTGCAAGTCTTATTCAATCCACACAACAAACCCGATAGAGGTTTTCTAAAGCAGACTGCCTCATCTTTCTTCTGCAGAGCAAGTCTTACATAAATATTTTGTTCTTTAAACTACATGCGTGATTTTTAGAAAAACGTTATTACTAACTTAAAAAAAAGTAAACTAAACCTTTAAGAACAGCACAGACGTCATTTAAAATTCTCTAATGTTGCTGTTGTTAGTGCCATCAAGTTGATTTTGATCATGGAAAGGGTTTCCAAGGAGTGGCTGGTGGATCTGAACAACCAACGTTTTAGTCAGCAGTCCAGTGCTTATTCTACAGTGTAAAATTCTCTAATAGCTGCATTTGAAAGGTAAAAAGAAACAGATAAAATCAATTCTAATATACTTATTCCAGTCATCCAAATATTGTTTCAATGTGCACATATAATTAATTTATACATTCAAAAATTACTAGATATTTGACATTCTCCTTTTTTGGGGCATGAAGTTTTAGCACCACTACTCATCTGTCAGTTTGTCGTACTGTGATGGCTTGTGAGTTGCTGTTGATTCTGAAAGCTATGCCACTGGTATTTTAAATACCAACAGGGTCACCCATGAGCTTCCAGACAAAGGCAGATTAGGAAGAAGGAGTGACAAACTGCTTCCGAATATTTAATCACTGAAAACCTTATGAATAGCAGAGAAACACTGTCAGATATACAGCCGGGAAATGAGCCCCTCAGGTTGGAAGGCACTCAAAATGCGACTGGGGAAGAGCTGCCTCCTCAAAGTAGATTTGACAGTGATGATGCAAATGGAGTAAAGCTCCTGGGAGAAAAGTGCACAGAATCTTCATTTGCTGATGGGCCACAACTCAAAATGAAGAGAAACAGCTATAAACATCCACTGAAAATCAGAACATGGAATGTACAAAGTACGAATCTGGGAAAATTGGAAGTTGTCAACAATGAAATAGAATGCACAAACATCGATATCTTAGGCATTAGAGAGCTGAAATGTACTGGTATTGGCCATTTTGAAACTGACAACTACATGGTTTACTATGCCGGGAATGAAAAATTGAAGAGGAATGGTAGTGTAGTTATCGTCAAAAAAACATATTCAGATCACTCATGAAGTACAACGCTGTTTGTGATAAGCTAATATCCATGCGCCTACAGGGAAGCAAAGCCGTTTGAACTGCAAGGTCAGCAGTTCAAGCTCACCAGCTGCTCCTCGGAAACACTACACAGGGTTGCTATGGGTCGGAACCGACTTGACGGCACATCACAACAACAACAACAACAGGGAAGCCCAGTTAACAACACTATTATTCAAATTTATGAAACCATCCACTAAAGCCAGTGAGGATGAAATCAAAGAATTCTACCAACTTCTTCAAACTGAAATTGATCAAACACGCAATCAAGATGTATTATCATTACTGGTGACTGGAATGCAAAGGTTGAGAGCAAAGAGGAAGGGTCAGTAGTTGGAAAATATGGCCTTGGTGTTAGAAATGATGCTGGAGAATGCAAGATAGAATTCTGAAAAACCAATGATTTGTTCATTTCAAATACTTTCTTTAGACGCATAAGAGACGACTATACACATGGACCTCACCAGATGGAATAATCAAATTGACTCATCTGCACAAAGAGACGATGGAAAAGCTCCGTATCATCAGTCAAAACAAGGCCAGGGGCAGACTGTGGAACAGACCATCAATTACTCATATGCAAATTCAAACTGAAGCTGAAGAAAATGAAAACAAGTCCACGAGAGCCAAAATATGACCTTGAATATATCCCACCTGAATTTAGAGATCATCTGAAGAACAGATTTGATACATTAAACACTAAAGACTGAAGATCAGAAGAGGTGTGGGATGACATCAAGAACAATCATACATGAAGAAAGCAAAAAGTCACTGAGAAGACACGAAAGAAGGAAAAGGTCAAAATGGATGTCAGAAGAGACACTGAAACTTACTCTCTAGTGTAGAGATGCTAGAGCAAATGGAAGAAATGAGGTCCAAGAGCTGAACAGAAAATTTCAAAGATCAGCTCGAGAAGATAAAGTGAAATATTACAACAAAATGTGCAAAGATCTGGAATCAGAAAACTAAAAAGAAAGAACTTGCTCAGCATTTCTCAAGTTCGGGGAACTGAAGAAAAAAATCAAGCGTCGACTTTTGTTATTGAAGGATTCACTGGGCAAATTATTGAATGATGCAGAAAGCAGCAAGTGAAGATGGAAGGGATACACAGTCACTATACCAAAAGGAAATGGTTGATGTTTCATCATTTCAAGAGGTAGCATATGATCAAGAGACAATGATCCTAAAGAAGGAAGTCCAAGGTGCATTGAAAGAATTGCCAAAGAACAAGGCACCAGGAACTGATGGAACACAACTTGAAATCTTTCAAGAAAGTGAGGCAGCACAGGAGGCACTTACTCATCTCTACCAAGAAATTTGGAAGACAACTATCTGGCCAACTGATTGGAAGAGATCCATATTTGTGCCCAACAGAATGCGGAAATCACTGGATAATCTCTTTGATATCTCATGCGAGTAAAGTTTTGCTAAAGGTAATACAGAAATGGCTACAATCATACATTGACAGAGAACTTCCAGAGGTTCAAGCCAGATTCAGAAGAGGCTATGGAACAAAGGATATTACTGCTGATGTCCGATGGATCTTGGCTGAAAGCAGAGAGTATCAGAAAGATGTTTACCTGTTCTTTATTGAGTACGCAAAGGCTTTCGATTGTGTGGATTACGACAAGCTATGGACAACATTGAGAAGTATGAGTATTCCGGAACACTTAATTGTGCTCATGAGGAATCTGTACCTGAACCAAGAGGCAGCTGTTCGAACATAACATGGGGACACTGAATGGTTTAAAATGAAGAAAGGTGTGCGACAGGGTTGTATTCTTTCACCATACTTATTCAACCTATATGCTGAGCAAATAATACGAGAAGCTGGGCTATATGAAGAAAAGTGTGGTATCAGGATTAGAGGCAGACTCATTAACAACCTGCGATATGCAGATGACACAACCTTGCTTGCTGAGGAAAGTGAAGAGGACTTTAGACATTTACTGATGAAGATCAAAGAGCACAGTCTTTGGTATGGATTACATCTCAATCAATGTAAAGAAAACAAAAATCCTCACCACTGGACCAATAAACATTTTTATCAACGGAGAAAAGATTGAAGTAGTCAAGGACTTCATTCTTCTTGGATCAACTATCAACACTCATGGAAGCAGCAATCAAGAAATCAGAGGACATATTATATTAGGCAAATCTGATGCACAAGACCTTTTTAAAGTGTTCAAGAGTAAAGATGTCAGCTTGAGGATTAAGGTGTTCCTGACCAAGCCATGGTATTTTCAATCACCTCATATGCATGTGAAAGCTGGACAGTGAATAAGGAAGACGGTAGAAGAATTGATGCCTTTGAGTTATGGTGTTGGAGAAGAATACTGAACGTGCCATGGGCTGCCAAAAGAACCAACAGATCATTTTGGAAGAAGTGCAGCCAGAGTGCTCCTTGGAGGCCAAGATGGTCAAACTTCGCCTCTCATCCTTCGGACATATTGTCAGGAGGGACCAGTTGCTGGAGAAGGATATCATGTTTGGTAAGGTGAAGGGTCAGAGAAAAATAGGAAGACCCCCAACGAGATGGATTAGCTAAGTGGCAGCATCGATGGACTCAAGAGTGGCAACAGTAGTGAGGTTGGCCCAGGATCGGGCAGTGTTTTGTTCTGCTGTGTATAAGGTCGCTATGGGTCGGTACCAACTTGATGGCACCTAACAATGTCTTAGAAGCCCAGTGTGTTATACTTAAGGCACATTCACTGTTGGCAACTAACACACCTCCGACGACCCTGAAGCTGTAGCATTCTCTCAGTGGCCTTCCCTCTTTAACCCTCAGGCTCCTCTTTAGGAGCCACTGAACACCACAAAAGCATCACAGAAGCTGACCTCAGTTCCAGGTATCCTTGTTCATCTGAAAAGTGAAGCCAGGCACTAGCTTGTCTTGGAGGAGCCCTGGTGGCACAACAGTTGAGGCCCAGGTGCTTACACAAGGGACAGTGGTTTGACCCCACCAGCAGCTCACAGGTTGGAAAATCCTGTGCAGCAGTGCAGCTCTGTCACATGGGGTCACTTTGAGTTGAAAGATGACTGGACGTGACCCAACAACAATCAGGCTGGCAAGAGGCTACTTTCTATTCAGGTCCTGATTTAGAAAAAGATTAAATCCCAGTGCCAGAGCACAAGACCTTCCGGTGGCCCCTTTAACCTCAAGTTACACGACGGCAGTCCCCAAAACACACAGACCCACCTTACTTGCCCAACTTTAGCCCTTCATGAAACTGGTAACAACATCCCCAGGAATCCTGTCCTATTGTATTTTTGGAATGCCTCCCAGTCCACCACCTCTTTCAGGGGACTCCACCTTCCCTGGGGGCCACAGGAGTGGGGCTGGGGTGCCAAGGTTTACAGATCAAGACCACCACCGGTGCCATTTCAATTCCAGGAGAGGGAAAAGAGACTTTTGTGAGCTGGTCTGGGAGCCCAGCCAGCACATCCGCCTGTCTCCCTGATGTGAACGGGGCCGGGGACAGCATGGGGACTTGTGCTGCAG